CCCCACACCTATGAGTTCCTTGAGAAGAAGACGGAGTGCACAGGAGAGGAGTCGAGGCTGGGTGAACAAGTGAACTAACAAACGAGTGAATGACTGGCACCCACTGGGAAAATGTGCCCCGAGTCGGCAGGAACTGAGCATGAGATGGGCTGGGCAGAATGTCAGCTGCGCTTAATAGTAAGTCCAAGGCCGCACCAGAGAATGCTAACCACCGGGTTCACAGCTGTAATTTCCTGTCCCGGTGACAGGGAGTCAGACTCAAACGGAGCTTGTTTCCAGTCTGTGTCTGGGAATAGATACACATGGAAGGGAGGAGGCAAAAAGCATTACCATGACCTAAAACTGGACAAGACTGCCACACCATTCCCCTCCTTCTCGGCACCCACCATGTGAATCAACGGTGAATCCCTGATTTCAAACGGGTCGGCAGACCAGGGACCAACCTCCAGCCCCCAGGGACCCAAACACAACACAGGCACTTGAGACAGATAACCTTTACCCATTCACGCAATGACCATGGGCGTCAGAGGCTGCTATATTAAGTACTATATTAAGTTGAGCCTTCCCACCTTTGGCCATTAAAGGCCCTGGGGGGGAGGGAGGGCAAATTATCTTTAGGTAAACTGATCTCAACTTCCTTTTCCAAATTAAATAGGAAGGAGACTGGATGAGAATGAGGAGGAGATTCGTACATCTGGAAGTATGCAAGCGCGCGCTCTCTCTTTCTCTCTCTCTGTTATATACATAGAACTGGGTAATAATTCTTTGGCTTTATATAGCATCGCTTTCCAAAGACCTCAAAAGAGCCTTTACAAACATTCCCCTGGGGCCCATCCTCAGTTACAGTTAAAGGGAGAGCTCAGGAGGGCACATGCATGGAAATAAAAGCATTCTTCTGTGGATATATACTTAACCTAGACCGTCATTTTTCAAACTTAACAGACTGCTTTTTTTTTTTTCCTTTTTCTGTCTACCCAATCTCTTTCCTTTTATCTCCAAGAGAAAGGATAATCTATATTGAGCTCTAAGGGTAACTTTCAAAACCAATCTTGGGCCATTCTAGCTTTTTGTTGTTTCTCTCTCCTGCCTCCCCTCAACACCCT